TTAAACAGTTAAGTTTAAGCAAAAGTACGAAAAGGAAAAAAGACTTTCCTCAATCCAATACAGCTAAACAGTACTTGAATATCCGGTAGTGCATTGATATTCGCCAACTGCCCGATCTGTGAAGTAATCTTGAGCATCTGTAAGGTGATATAGAAATTGTTAAGTACAATTTGATTAAATTCTTTTTGTAAATTAGATTCTACTTTATCAGAAGTGATCAAACCTGAGGCGTTTACTCCCCATGCTCATCAAACGAGTGTAATCGAAATGTGTCCCACTTGTGCAATCATAAAGTGAAGTGGCTACACTAGAAATGATTTTTGCAAAAAAAACAGTATAAACTAGTATTTATTAGATTGTTCGGATATAAACAAGCGTTGCTAAAGTTATTGTTGTGAGAAGAAGCTTTTTAAAGCCTCTTTTTAAAACATGTCTTTCTGTATTTAAAAGTACGTTATCTTGTGCATATTTGGAATCTTTTAAACGAATAATTTCTTATTTTTAAGATCGTAACCTTCCTTTAAATGACTGACTTCAAATATATCAGGTTCGCGTCTGCACACTCTACGGCAACAGCTCTAGATGACCGACTTCAAATATCAAGTTCGCATCTTGCCTGCTCTACGACTTCAGCTTTAGATGGCCGACTTCAAATATCAAGGTTTCGCCTCTGCCTACTCTACGACTTCAGCTTTAGATGGCCGACTTCAAATATCAAGTTCGCCTCTGCCTACTCTACGACTTCAGCTTTAGATGGCCGACTTCCAAATATCAAGTTCGCGTATTGCCTACTCTGCGACTTCAGCTTTAGATGGCCGACTTTAAATATCAAGTTCGCCTCTGCCTACTCTACGACTTCAGCTTTTAGATAATGACTTCAAATATCAAGTTCGCCTCTGCCTACTCCCCGACTTCAGCTTTAGATGGCCGACTACAAATATCAAGTTCGCCTCTGCCTGCTCTACGACTTCGGCTTTAGATGACCGACTTCAAATATCTCGAGTTTCGCCTCTACCTACTCTACGACTTCAGCTTTTGATGGCCGCTTCAATCATCAAGTTCAAATACTTTGCGACTTCAAACTGGGCAAAACAGTAGCGGAATCCCATTGAGGGCTGGTCAAAGCATTCAGGAATGATGTTTGTCCGAAAGCCGATGCCGAGCCTGGTTCCAACGCTTTTCGGAATGGTGATGAAAGTCTCGAGGATGATGAACACTCTGGTCGACCTCAAGCGGTAGACAACGTTATTTTAAGGGGCTACAATCGAATCGCATTCATGTCAAACAACGCGTGAACTTGCTCAACAGTTTCTATGTTCAAATTCTACCCATTGATGAGCATCTGTACACCATTGGAAATACGATAGAATACTTGAGGAAATAGAGGCCTCGCGAGTTAAGCAGTGCAAACGCTCATTTAGTTCAGAGCAACCTAATACTATATATAAAGGGACATTTGTCTTTCTGTCTGTCTGTGCGCGCTATTCATAACCCTCAGAGGATCATTTTCCATAGATTTTCCGCCCTTGAATAGGGGAATTCCAATGTAGTTGTGCGTGCATTTGGATTTTGAAAAAGCAAAATTAAAGTCGCATGCGAGGGTCGAACTTGGCTTGTGTGGCAGGAGACCGGCGCGCTATTCATGGTGCCTGAGCGACAAAATACGTTCATCTTCAAAACATCCAGAAAAACCCGTCATTAAGGCTTATCGGCCCAATATAAGTACTAAATACCAATCACTTTTAAGCTTAAGAAACATTTACCGTAAATACTGTAATAGTACCCCACCCGCCCTCGTACAGTCGCGTAGTCATAAAAAGTTTTTAGTGTTTCATTTTTTCAAAGCACCCGTACTTTCAGTACTGCGTCTTTGGTATCAAAAATAGCTGAAATTCAGGGTTATTTTTTTGATACCTAAGAACACGTTGTAGCATAAACCAGTGTCCAGAAAAACTCGTTCAAAGCTAAGACTACGTAACACTCCGCACCGTCGTTATGCGGGTGGGGTACTATTACAGTATTCCCGTATGTTTTCTCACTTGCAGATTTTTCGGTTGAATTGTAATTCCTTGATTTCTGAACTGACCAAAGTTTCGCGCATTCCCAAAAAGTTGGAAGAGTACCCGAATGAATTTCTGGTTCTGATTGTTAAAATTCAATATTAAGTTTCAAGACCACCTTGAAAGTTGAAACCATAAAAAGCTGAGAAAGGAGTAGCAATGATTGAGAATCGCACAACGAATTCGTATTGTAATTAGCTGAAATGGTGACAAGGGAAGAGAAATCCTGAAAAATGATTGATTCTGTTAATATTGTTAAAGAAGTTTATTTTTAAAACAACTAACAAATTTAGATATTTAGTAGATTTTTAGAAAAACAAGTTTATCAGCCGACCAATCAAGAATCGGAAGCATCATTGAGGAGTAAAGTCCAATCGAATTTCAATGATTTGTGCGACTTTGCAACTCTCAAAGTTTTTCTCGTGACTTTTTTATAAGCTTATAAACCTGTTATCTATCACAAAATTGATGTGATGAACGACGCTAAAAAGTTTTCGGAAGCATTTCGGTGATTCGAAATGAAATAGAGTTGATGGGTTGAGTTGCTCATGAATAAATTGCCGAAAGAACACCTGGTTAGTCATTAAAAAAGGTAATAGCATTCAAGTAAAGTTGAAATTCCAATCATATAAGCTATTACATAGCTCAATGCTTTTAGACTGATTCGCCTGTTGAGGCTTTTCTGTACCGTCTTCGAAAGGCGATTTTGTTAATTGGACGAGGGCAGCCAAATTTAGTGTACATGGGTTGGTGAATTGAAAAATGCGGCTATTGTCATAAAAGATAAATTGAGATTTTTCTAAAGAAATTATTTGCGTCAATGGAAAAGTTGTAGAGAATCAAAAATCGGGCTTTATATCTAAATTCCGGCAACGATCTCAAAACTGGTTTTCACAAATGCCAATTTACGAATTTTCACAAAACTTGAACAAAACTTGCATTTTAAGCGAAACTACTAAATGTATCTTTTTGGAAAATTTGCTTATAAGCCCTATTTTTGATTCTCTACAACTTTTTATTGACAAAAAAATGGGTTTCTTTTGAAATAGGCGTTCAAACTTCTCCACAGTCCTCCATTTTTGAGTCTCACACTTGTCTCACACACAAACCAAATTCTACTACGAAAGAGGAACTGCAACTGTCTGTGTAAATGGGTAGGGGTCGTCAATAATACGAATTATTTGGAATGAATTGGTATGTTGAATAAATTTAGTTCAAAGTCCCAGTAATTTTCACCACCAACCAATAGATCCGAGGTATTTGAGCGGAAAGCAACCAAGCCAACTCAGTCGCTCTGTCCTTTATTAAGATCCAAAAAGGAGGCTTCCCTACACGAGCCATCATGGCCAGATGGAGAGCGATTACGCAGTTTCACAAAAGAACACCTCGCCAGTCATTACATAGGAATTCTTCTTTTGTTCTGAAAATGACTTCAGGTGAGAAAGATATATTTCTACCACGAGTTTGAGAATCGATTGGTAATTCACCAAAGATTTCAGTCCGTTTCGGTCTATTTAAAATCGATAATACTTTTAATGTCTTGTAATTTTCTATTGTCTGATATTTTATTCCCACCAACCTAACGGGGAATCCCTATGTATCATCTCTGAAGAAAAAATGTTATTTTGTACAGGTATTAAAGAGCAATTTGTAAAGGATTACTATGTTTTGTAAATTTCAAACTCTAAAACAGCTCCAGCATTGATTGTTAACATTAGTTGATCAGGGTAATTTGATTCCTTTGCAAGCAGCATCAGGCTTAACTCCAACTTCAACAATCGATAATCATTATACAATTCCCAAGACATAAATCAAAGTCTTTTCTTTTCAATACCTAAAATATAAGTTTTATTGTAACTTTCTTGTAAGGCTAGGTAAACAACAAGAATCGATTATCAGACCAAAATAATTACTACAAGATTGTTAATTCATTTCTTCCACTTGTTTGCTTTATCAATTTATATAAAAAGAAATATTGGAAGAATTTCATGAATTACAATAATTAAAATTCAAAATAAATTCAGAGATCGCAATAGTATCTCGGTATCGACTTTCGGGCGCTGCACTCAAACGGGAACCCATGCAATCATCCTGAAAACAAAATCGAATATTTTCCATAGCGAATTATTGCCATGTTTTTGTAGATTTCAAACCTCTAAAACAGCTCCACCATTGATTGTTGGCATTAGTTGATCAGGTAATTTTATCCGATGTCTTTTCAAAGCAGCAAGCAATTGTGGCTTCAACTCCAACTTCAACAATCGATAATCATTATAATAATTTCTCAAGACATAAATCAAAGTCTCTTTTCTTCCAATACCTAAAATATAAGTGTTTCTTGTAATTGTTTAATACTTGAGAAGTCCATATTTCGATTGCATTCCTTGACCGCGCTTTCCCCGTTTCGAGCTGATAAAGCGCTTTCGAATGCGGCTCGGTTACCTAGGAAACATTACAAAACTCTTCTTCCCATCCAATCTATATGTACATTTTCTAATCAATGTACACTTCAAATGAATTCCATCAAATTGTTTACCCGTTGCGCTACACTAGGCGGTACACCTCTCTTCACAAAAATCTTCTCAAATTGTTTGGCGGTCGTTTTTCGATCCGATGACTGAAAAACGAAATCCACATTGCCATCAGGCAAAGACTCTCCATTTTCGTAAGTGAACCTTAAAAAACGTGATTTTTGCTAGAGAAAAGGGGAAAAGGAAACCAAAATGATGGCTGGATATGTCCAAGAACAGCGTTGTATCTATCTTTCTCATTCATCACCATTTCAAACAATAACTGATTTGTCCATTTTGCAAATCGATGAATGCTCATTTTTCTTGGACAAAGGTGTTTCTCTCTAGATAGAGTTTTAAATGAACTCTATCATTTGATCGAAACACTCCCTTGCTACAGATATGCATACATTGGAAACAAATCTCCTCAATCGGATCCTCGAACGACGATCAACGCTGGACTATTTCCGTTGATTATCCATTTGAGATTTTTTGATGGGGACTTGATGATACCAATTTGCTTCATACAAAGGCTAAAATTAAGTAAATTAACTCATCATTCTGAACATTACCCTTACTTTTATTCTTTCCAATTTCTAGCTCCGGAATTAAGGACATTAACTCATTGTTCTAAACATTTCCCTTGCTTTCTATTCTTTCCAACTTCTAGATTTAGAATAAAGTACTTTAACTCATTATTCTGCTCATTACCCTTACTTTTTATCTTTTCCAACTTCAAGATTCAGAGTTAAGTACTTTAACTCATTATTCTGAACATTTCCCTTACTTTTTATCTTTTCCAACTTCAAGATTCTTCTGTGGAAGTCCTCTTTGTTGTCTAAGCAAATCGCAAAGTGTTAGAAGCGTTGTTTGTGACATCGTTTTTGAGATGAGAATTGCGTTAAAACCGGTAGCATTTTTTAACTAAATGAAAACTCATTGCATTAACAAAATTTGAATGTAAATTTAGCATAAAAATTCAAATATGGATTATTTGCGTGAGTTTAAAACGAATGCGTATTGTTCAAAACATATACAGGTGAAAATATAGCCTCAAAATTCGGTATTACCACGGGTCCTATATAATGCGGCGGTCGAAGGGCTTCAGATAATGGCAAGATTTCGTTTAGAAGTGATTCACGAGCATCAAGAATATTTAAAATCGAAAAATAGCAAAGCAATAAGCGAAACATTTGCATAAAATGATATTTTGCGAGTTGTACAAGGCTTGATCCAGAGTTCAACGCCTTTTTTTGTCACCGGAACATCGAAAAGATCCGAGAGTCTCTTAATGGATAAAGAGAGGGGAGTGAAGAGGTTGCCATTGAAAAGAAACTTGCTTTTTTTGCAACACTCGCACGAAAGGAGACGAAATTTTGAAGAGGGAAATCAAAGAGCAAATTGTGATCTGAGGATCAGTCTTTAGTTGTCAACGAGATCTTCTATTCAACTCAAGGTCAGAGTTCGATAAAGAGTTTTATAAGGCTTAAGCGTCATTTGTTTAGAGTTTAAACTTGAGAATTTCTAGCGGAAATACAACGAATGAAGGTGCAAAAATTGAGCCAAAAATTTCTGGGAATACGGAGTGAAAGGCCCGTCACGGCGGCTCATCAGCGGTTCAACGTTGGTTTATTTCACCAAGGCCTCTACCAAGCCGAATTCAGTGTTTGCGAAAACATTCGAAAATTTGAGAACCGGTTCAAGAGTCGAAACCCGAGCCTTCACCCCGGTGGTAGCCTTAGAGACGGGCGCGCTAACCACTCGGCTAAAATGTTTCGTTATCAGCCTCTGATGCGGGTGCCTTAATAACTGTTCCGGAAAGCGGCCGTGGTTGCGACGTTGTGAAGGTGATTGACGGGCAAAACGATTGATCGCGCAAACAATCGACCGGCGCAAAAGATTGACTAATGCAAAACGACATCAAATTTTGGGCAACTAGGCTCTCGGGAGTGGGATGCTTAATTGTGGGCCAATTTCAGTCCTTAGAAGGAACTAGGGAAGATTTATCCAAAATACACTATTCTTGTTGTTCGTCAACTCTTGGTCATGTTGTTCTGACAATTAAGTCCTCCGTATTTTTGTAAGAAATTCACTTTTTATGAGTTTGTTATGGAACCGAACTTCATTTAAGTCAAATCTTTTCTTTACTCAACATAAATCTTATGTTAAAATTCGCGAAAAAGAAAGCATCTTTATTCAAAAAACGATCTAGCTTTTCTTCTTGGATTTTTCCCTCCAACACACAGGTGCATATTTTTGTGACAGCAACACCATCCACGTCGATATCCATATTGCTTTGACAGCAAGTATCAATGTGTTTTCTTTCACATCTCCATCTTCACGCTGTAAAAGATTGGATTTAGTTTTGGGAAGATTTCGTCAATATTGGGGTACCACCCCACAATGACGAAAAGGAGCGTTGCGTAGTTCAGTTTGAACGATTTTCTCGACACTGGTTTATGCTACACATTGGGTTTAGGTATCAAAAATAGCTGAAATTCAGGGCTATTTTTATAGATACCAAAGACGCATTTTTTAAAAGTACGGGTGGTTCGAAAAAAAATGAAAAAATATAAAACTTCTGCGACTACGGACTGTACGAGGGTGGGGTACTATTGGAGTATTCAGGGTGGAATCATCATTCTTGAGTACATCGATGATTTCTTGAAGAATTTTAAAGAATTTTTTTTTGCCCAAACCCGAGCATTTTACTGCATTGAGGGACCACTTGGATAGTAGCATCGATTTTTATCTATGGGTGACAGTTGTTACCACTTCAAAGGGAAATTGTTGAGAATCTTTGCCCAGATTTTACTTGGGAAACTCGCAATAATCAGCAAGAAGCTTAAACAAAAATGATGGAAAGACGATTTAGCGACATTCAAAAGCGACTTTTCTAAACTTTAAGGTAAAAGTTTTCTTTTAAATGCTTTAGGAAACGAAAAGATTGGTGATACTTCAAAATTGAAGGTAGTCTCGTCTTTGGGTTTTGTTTCAATTTACCACAATTGTGTCAGGGAAAGCATTCAACGAAAGGGACACATAAAAAACTAAAGGCAGGATTACGGGAAAGCGTTCAAAAGTTGGTAGATTTTAGAAAACGCATTAAAACATAAATAGATGAGAAATGGAACTGGAGTCTTTTAGTAGAATCTTTATAGAATCTGATGATCGACGGTCCAGTTTGTCTGGTCTAAAGAGACGACAAGTTTAGGCAAGAGTCCATGCCTAGATATTCTCAATTTTTCAAAGAAATCCTGGGGGGGGGGAAAAGATGAAATTTTCCCCGCTCATGGATGAGAGCATTTCCCCGGGGAAATTTCGCAGAAAGAACATTAGAAAACACTTGCTTTTTTGAATTTAGAAGTTTCAGGGGTTGAGGAGCAATTAAAAAATATCGTCAAAACGTTTTGTGGCGGGATGGGACCTTAGCTTATTGTTTTCAGTTTTCTTAGTGCCAGGTTAATCTAATTCAAGCGGGGGGGTGGAGGTAAATTTTCGATTTATTTTAAAACAATTGTTGATGAAAGTATTATCGGCATTGATTTGATGTTCAAATTTCAATATCAAAGGAAAATTACTGATTGATATTGCAAAGTTGTCCAAATAAAGTTTGATTTAAAAACTGAATCATTCATTGTTAAGAATGGAAACGGTATTATTTAAAAGTGGTAGAATAATGAAAAATTGAAAATGTACATTGTTTGTAAATACCGAAAACTGTATTCAAAAAAAAATCCAAAAGAGGTGACGATGCTTTGCAAGAGTCCAATGCCTCGATATTCTCCACTCTTTCACCAAAACCCCGTTTTTATGAAAGACCTTACGCTTTCATAGACGACAACAGTCCTTATACGAAAATTCCAGTAAACATTAGAAACCAAAGGCTGGCTTTGGAATTCTAGAAGTTAAAATTCTCTTTATAAAAACTTTTCTTTGTTTTTATATTAATCTAATTTAAGCGAGCAAGCAAGAAAGCAAGCAATTTTCACTAACCACTCAGCCATGTCGTTCTGTTATTAGGCTTCGAGGCGGGTGACCTAATAACTGCTCGCACCGCAAAAAGGGCCGCGGTTGCGCCAAACGATTGACCGCACAAGACGATTGACCACGCAAAACGATTGACCACGCAAAACGATTGACCGCGCAAAATGCAAACTTTTTACCTTTTCATAGACGACAACATTTTCCATAAGAAAATTTGCAGAAAACATTAGAAAACTAATTCTTGGCTTTGGAACTCTAGAAGTTAAAATTCTCTTTATAAAAACTTGATTTAAAAAGTTTTCTTAGTTTTTATATTAATCTAATTTACGCGAGCGAGCAAGCAAGCGAGCATTTTATTATCATAACTGATTTTATGTCTCAAATTTTCAATATCAAAGTTAGAGTCACTGATTGATATTGGCAAAGTTGTGTGTAATAAAGTTTACATTTAAAAAACAGAATCATTCATTGTTAAGAACGGAAACGAGCCATTTAAGCATTTAGTTAAGCGAAAATTTGAAAATATACATTTGTTTGTGTGTGAAAACTAGTCAAAAAAAGTATTTGAACAAACTTTTCAAGAATCTTTTAGAATAACAGGTCTCTATCGAGAGTTTTGTCTATTTCTTTAAGTTGGGAAAGTGTCATTGTTTAAAAGAAGCTTCATATTTCTAGAAGTACACGTAGTCATCCTTATCAAATTTCGGTCGGTTCTCATCCCCATCTTTCCCTTTATTTGGCATGGATCGGCCTGAATAACGTCCCTCAGCTTGGCTTCGTTCACGACTTCTGGCCTCGAACCGTGCTCGTAATCTTCCAAAGTCTCGTCTCCCTCTCGGAATCGTTGAAACCAAGTCTGACACTGTCTGAGAGACAAACTGCCATCTCCGAAAGCAGCACAGAGAGAACGATGCTATTCGGCAGCAGACTTTCCATTTTTGAAGTTAAACAGTAATGCTGCTCGTAGCACAAACTTTTGCTCGACCATGATCTAAATAAAAAATAAGCATTTTTAAATAAAATAAACAACAACCAAAAAATTCAAATGTCGAAATAAATAGCAAACAAATATGCGAACAAAACATTTAAAAAAAATAATGCCGTTAGCATCGCTCGTTTCTGATAAATGAGAGCTGATACCCATCGGCAGTTTCTTTTGCACCACCCTAATACATACATATAAAATCTGCCCCTCGATGATTTCAGTTATTGAAAGTTTCCTTACTCAGCGAACTTCCAAAGTTCTTCTAAACGTTTCTCTCTCCCCATCCTTTAATTGCTCTAGCGGTGTACCCCAAGGAAGTATTCTGGGTACTATACTTTTTACAATTTGCATTAATGCTTTAGCTGAATTAAATTTTTCATCTAGGGACTCATCTATCTGGCTTTATGCTGATGACGCGTTATCTAACCTTTAAAATCCCCATCAAAGATGAAGCCGCTAAGCCTGCTTCTTTAAGAGACGCCATGTCAGATATTGATCTGGTTGAAAAATGGTCCCATAATTGGAAATTAGCTTTAGCGTCTACGAAGTCCCTTCATTTCTCCACCGGAAATGCTATTTTCCCGCTGAAAATTAATTCTGCACCATTAAACAGAATTGGCAAAGAGAATTATATCAGAGATCTTGGAGTCCATATTTCCCCACCTTTAAATTTCTCAAAACATATTGAAATTATATGCCGTAAAGGTTTTTTTCGTCTCTAGTCGTATCCTAAAAGCAAATTGTTATCCGAAAATCGACACTTATAGAAAGTGTTTCGTCAATTAGATTAGACCCATTCTAGAGTATGCATCTATAGTTTGGTTTCCACATACACAAGTTGATATCTCTCGTCTAGAAAAAATCCAGCAAAGATATTTAAATAATTTACAGAAGATTGAAAAATAAAACGAAAAAGGAACTAATTGAGTACGAAATAGTAATCTAAATCTTCCTTCAAAAACTGCTTCAAGTGGGGACTTTTATTAAAAATGACTAATTTGGACAGAACTATAGGTTGTCCAGGTGTTAAGAAAAATAAATTTTACAAAAATTTACATTTTAATCTAGATCGAACGCCCGATCTGGGATCAATCCTGGATCAGACGGAACCCTGGATCAGACGGAATCCTGGATCAGACGGAATCCTGGATCAGACGGAACCCTGGTCAGACGGAACCCTGGATCAGACGCAACATATAAACTCATATTTATCCTAACCATTATCCTTACTATTATTGAATTAAAGAATCAAATCATTTGTTACACCGACATTTTCTTCATGCAAAAAGAAATTGAGCAACTTCTAATTCCTATTTTGATTTCAGCAATTTTTGGTGTTGGCGTAAACAAAAATATTACTTGGAAAGGAAATTGAAAATAATTCCTTATCGCTTCTCGTCAAATCAGGCTTTTGCTCTAAAAAAACCGCTCACAGAGCTTTTAATTATTGGGTCTCGTTATTGATGTCTTTTTGTTTACTTGAAATTTTTGATTTATTTAAAGTTGAAGTAATCATTTAGTTCCTTTGAAGACCTTTGCTAATGGATGAGATCTATGAGATCGATTTATCAAAAGCCGAATTTCTAGTCAAGGATCATTTTGTGATGTTCATTTAGTTGAGATATTGGGTTGGGGAGAATGAGTCGGCGCCGAAAATGAAAAAAATGTCTAAAACTTCTATTCGACTTCGTCAAATAATATGCGTTTGATATGAGTAGAATGGTTAACTAATTCTCTACAAAATGACATTTAAAAGAAAATTCAAACAGCGCCTCCGCTCAAGAAAAAGCCATTTTTTCACAAAAACTACAAACTGTCATCTAGAAAAAACCATTGGTGGGATCTTCCTGCAAATTTGGCAACTTAAGTAATTGAATGTGCTCTATCTTTTTTATATAAACACCAAAGAAGGTTTATGTGAAAGAAACTGTTCAAATGATGAGTCGGACTCTTTGTCATTTTAACCAGCTGCGTTTGGAAGTTCATAAACTCCACGAAAGAAAAGCTTTGTGGAATCTCTCAAAAGTCATTTTGTAGAGAAATAGTGGATCCTTTTGATGAAACCAAACGTATGTTTAAAGAAGGCTTTATGTGTGCAAAAAGTCCCTTTAAAGTTTGGCGCCGACTCATTCTCCCCAACCCAATAGATAGGTAAACATTTTTATGATAGAAAATTGCAATTTTAAAAAAATCCATGAAAAATTTAGAACGAAATTTTTCTTGCTTTGAAATTGGAATATGATTGTACTTTTTGTACAATCAACTTTTTGTTTTTTTGGATCTAATGTCTTCAATTTAGGCAAACTGCCGTGAAAACTCTGAAATACAGACGGAACACTTCGAAATATGATGATCTTTTGGCAGATTTCAAAAAAGAATGTGATGTTTTGGTTAAATTAGACCATCCAAATATTATCAAAACATTTGGTGGACAAGAAGTTCTAAAATATCAACGACTTCAATTTGGGATATTGACTGAATATTGTGAAATGGGGACACTGAGAAAACGTAAATTTGGACTTTTTTTTCAGAAAATTTCGATTTATAGTTATTTTCAATTCCACTATTCTCTATTCGATGAAAAATGTGACTATTTGGTCAGAAAATCTCTTTGATGCCTTGGATTACATGTTTAAAACAAAACAGATCATTCACCGTGATATCAAAACGGAAAAGTTCGTGATTGAATGATTGAATTGTTTTGCTTTTATTATTCTCGCTTTCAGCATTTTTGTCACAAAAGATTTCATTGTGAAACTTGGAGATTTTGGGACAACACGAGAAATTGATCAAACATGTACTGGAACTTTTGATGTTGGAACAATTCGATATCGCAACCCTCCACAACCTTGATTCAAGCATGACAAGCGAAGAATTGTTGGATCAGAGCAGAAAGGTACACAAAATAGACTATGAAAAGTATTTGAATGCCAAGATCAAACTAATAAGAAGATAATATTTCACAGTTTCAGGCCTCATCTCGAAATGATGTTTATGCACTTGGTTTGGTCATATGGCAACTCATTGAAAGAAGGTATTTGGTGAAAATTGGTTAAATATTTTTTATTTTATTTTAGACTAGGCCTTGCTGAATATGGAAAATGAAGGGAAAATTTGATTATGGACTTTTCACTCTTGATGTTTTTCTTGGAAAACTAAAGAGATTAGATCCGCCAAAATGTTTTCGGGAAATTGGAGAAATTGTGGAAAGGTAAATACAGGGTGTTCCACAATTAATGACATACCTGATAACTATGCTTGAAAAACTTTTTAGTAGAAAACTTGTGATGGAAACTTTTATTTTTAACAAATTAGATAGTAAAGTAATGGAAAGACAACAATTATTGGATATGTCCTCCTTTCGCGTTGATACAGAGCTGAAGGCGCTTCGGGAAGTCGTCGACCGTGGCACGTAAGTAGGGAGATCCATCACCGAGAGTCGGATGAAGAGAATGCGAAACTGGATTTTTGTGGATTAGAAATGCCGTAAATTCGATCGTTTTGCTTGTTCAACACTTGCTGGACCGTAAATTTTTTCTCATCGGTGAAAAGAATCCTTCGGTGAGCTTTTCCAGGAAACCGAGCAAGAAGTTGGGTACAACGCTGTTCTCTCTTAAGTTTTGTAGCATCGGTAATTCCGTGACACTTGTTTTTCTTGAAAGCTTTCATCCCTAAGCGTTTTTCGAACGATTCGATGCATCGAAGTCACAGGAACTTCATTTCACGAGCCATTTGACGAACAGATCTCTCTCCGGGTTGCGCCTTATTCTCTCGCGAACGTTCTTGATGCTAACAGTCTTACCAGCCGAAGTTACACGTCTTCCACGTCCCTTTCGATCCTGATTTGTTCCAAGAGACTTAAAACGTTTGCATCGTTCGCAAAACAAGTTGTTTTGTCACTCCCAGTCGTTGATGGATCGACCGTGCCGGAATACCTTTCTTGTGAAAAGAAATGATCAAGTCGCGAAAGCTGGAGGGCTTGGCCATTTTTAAAAAGGACAATTTTTTAAATATTATTAAATGAAAACAAGTTTAAAACAAGAAAAACTTCAAAAACAGTCAATAAATCGCTCGCGTTGGACAATTTAAATGCTTTTATCATGAGGGGTCGGGGTATCAGTAATTGTGGAACACCCTGTAGTTTCCCCATTTAACAACTTGTTAGTTATGCCTTTTTATTTTATAACACCTTGTTATAACACAAAATTTAGTTGTTGCGATTTTGCCCGCTCAAAACGACCAAATATCGAAGAAATTCTAAAACAGCTCAAAGAGTTTAAGAGGTGAGTGTTAGTGCAAGATTAAAGCAAAGTTTTCAAACAATTGTCTCTTTTAGATCAATAACTTTAATGATTCCAATGATGGTTATCCAACCATCGATAAAAATCAACAAGAGCTTATTCTACCAATCGGTTTTAACCATTTGAAAAATCGAGAACTCATTCTTGTTACCTCCAACAATCCGATTTCTATTGAATTCGGGTCTGAACCTTGTGAAGAACATGCCGACAAGCTAATTAAAAAATTTTATTCTCCTAGGATGATAGGTTTACACGAAAATTTATCAAAAGATTCAATGAGATATCGAATCACGAAAAAAATGGATTTTATCAGCGAAATTGAGAATATTATTGTGGATGCACTAAACAAAAATTATAAATATTTTCATGAATATTCGTTTCACAAAGTTAACCCTGAGAAAAAGTTCGATGAAATGAATCTTAGGCAAATATTTCAAAGGGAATGTTGTTGGAAGTCAAAAGCTCTAAAGTCACATTTCTTAGGTTGCATTTGAGGAGTTATGGTAGGAACTATTTGAAAGTGAGTGAGTCGACAAAATTTTTCATATTAGTTATTATTTTGGGAAGGAAAAATGCTTGGATCGATTAATTGGAAATAGCGAAAACAGACCTTCAATTTTCAAATTTGAAATTCAAATGTTTTTTTTCAATAAAAACAGGCGAGGAATGGATTTTGGTCGCTGATCGCTGTTTGGGAAACGAATTTTTGAATAAGTCGTTTGACAGACATTTGCGTTCAGATCCTGAACGGCCTTTTGAGAACAAATCCGTTATCCATTTTGTCAGCGACGAGTTGCATTATTTTGATGATTTCATTATTAAGAGGACGGAATTTATTGAGTTATTGGAAAGGATAAAATTGAAAATTCAGAAGCGATTCTCTCTGACAATGAAACAAAGTTTTTGTTTATCAAGAAGTCAAACTTCAAAAATTACTCAAAAAGTTGAAAAGAATCTCCCAATTGATGGATATCTTTTCCAATTGACTAATCCACCAAGAATTCAATGCAATCATCATCCAAAATGCGACATTAAAATACAAGTTTTGGATGACGGATATCTCGAGAGCCCCTATTATTCTTGTTCATCAGAAAGACAAAACAATTATTTGTCAAATTGGATGAAATTTCTAGGTGGTGTCGATGGAGTTATTTGGAAATTCAAAAATATTACAAATTACAAATCGAACTTTGATCCAATAATCTTACTGCAAGTGATCAATTCTGAATGTGATCGTTCAATTCAATACATAACACTTTTGGATTTTTCTGATGAATATTTCAATGGGCCTAATGTTCCCTGTTTGCATCCATTGCTCGGATGTTACGTACGGATGTACATGAATGGTCAGAAGCTTCGGCAATTTTTGAATGAAACACCCGAAGAAGAACGAAGATATTTGGTTGTCAATTCAAAAAAGGAAGGCAATTATTGGGTGTGGGACTATCAAGGGAATCTAATTGAAGATTTTGATAGAGATTGCGAAAGTGATTGATTGTGAAAACTTTGACTTGAAATATATTAACTGATTCTATCTGATTCTTTTTAGAAAATTCTTAGTCAATTTTCTAATTTAATGATTCTTTTGAAAAGTCTTGCTTACTTTGCGTATTCTTATTTTTTATGCATTTTTGTATGAATATTTTCCTGCACGAAAAAAAAGGAATAAATGGAATCACTAAATTTTTGCTAATTCTTTAACAAAAATCGCCTTTCGCCAAATCAATTCTTGCTCTTTTGACATGTTTCTCTTAGGGAA